CTGCAGGCAATGCTGGCCATCGCATGTCATGAGCATGCTCATGATACGCTGAGAACGGTGAGTGAAATCGAAGCGAGACTTGCAATGATGCTGATGCATGAACATGATGACATATGTGGCCTAACCAGAAGGCAAACCAGCATACACGTTCAGGTGGTGAAGCGGCAATGATCGCACCCCCCCTCTAAAACCATATCAAACTACTACAGCCACCATGACAGTGACAACAGGCAATATCAGAGCTTCAGTAGATGGGGGATCCACACACGGAACGAACTACTCCGACCTTAACCCATGTACATCCTAAGCTTTTCGTTTTGCATCAGCTTTCCTGAATCAGCTTTTAAAGCCTGGTCTATGCATAGAGGAAACCTAAACGAAAAACCAAACCAATAAACCCGAAAGCCTGAAACCTCGAAAAAAGGGGACCCTAATATAGTACCCTTAATAGGAGGATCCTTATTATAAGGACCCCAAAATAAGGTACCCTAATTTTCGGAGCTCGTGGGACCTCCCGAGAGGCGCCGGCCGCGTTCAGCGAGTCCTGGTTGCCCATCGGATCTCTTTTTTGGGCACCCGAGGTTTAGGGTTTGGGTTTCGGGTTTTGCAGGTTTAGGGTTCAGGATTTATGGGTTTAGGGTTGGGTTTTTGAAGCCAGACTCTTGTTCATCAGAGCCTCTGCAGGACACAGAGCACCAGAAGCCCCAAACCCAAAAAAAAACGGCCGAAGTCTAGCACCCGAGACTCCAAAGAACCAAAAACATACAAAACAACAAAACAATCTCCTTAGGATACAAGCCCAAAACGGGAGTTCAAGATCAGGAGCCAAGCGCTTATATAACCCTAAGCAGTAGGATCGTCGTTATAGGGAGCCCTAGAAAGCATTATGGTAATTCGGAAATTATGAAACAGCCCCAGGAGCTGAGTACGTACCCGAGCCGAAACAGGTTGCCGTGATAGTTTGGGTAGGATGATACGAACCACTCTAAACCCTAAACTCTAAAACCAAAAAGCCTAAGTCATAAGTCCGAAGCCTCAACGCTAAGCCCTAAACTCCAAACCCTACCTGCGCAGCACCTAAGGAGCTTGTCTCTCCTCGGAGAGGGCCGGTCCAGAGCCGTGGTCGACTAAACGAGACAGGCCGGACCTCCCGAATGGAGGTGTTCGGCTTTGGAGCTTCGCGTCAGTAGAAAGGGGTACCATATATGGCTCTTTTGCCTCAACTTCGCAAAGTACGAGCCTACATGGGGCTTTAAGGGTTGAGGGTATAGGGACAAGTAGGGGATGCTTTTTCGTGTGGCAGCTGTGGGAATACTACTGGTAGGGGTTAAAAGACAACCCGGGCTCAGACGAAGTCTCTCGGTTCTCGTTCGCGTGTGGAACGGTTGGGGCTCAGGATTGGAGGCTTTGACGGTTAGCTTGGATTTTTGGCAACTTGAGGCTTCAGGGATTCTTGCAGGACATATTCTAAGGTTCGGGCTGAGGACTCCTGGCTTCTAGTGTTTCGGTTTCTTGTGGTTTAGGATGGGTTTTTGCCTCCCACCTAGCTAGGACAAGCCTGCTTTTCCAGGTTTATGATAGCTCAGGGATGAGGGTTCTAGTGCTTTTGGTTGGTCTAACTTCCGGCACACTGTGCAAGGATGACTCACTCTCTGTCAGTCGAGTCGTACCACAGTTATGGAGTAGCTCAACTTAAACACTTCGGAAGGCTACGACGGGGGCCTCGATAAGTGGAACATGATTTTTTGGGTATGCTACAGCCAATCATCTCTACCTTTATATAGTCCTCAACATGATTATCTGTTGTTCAATCTCATCTGGGTCGGGACAACCTGGACCTTACAAACACACACCCTAACCTAAATGAAGAACCATATGCAGCTGTTCAGTCCTCGTTTGTCGAACCACAACCCACCAAACTGAAATCTCCACTTGCTGTCTAACCTGCTGGGTGGTCCATTTACCAGCAGTTTTCCTAAGCCCCTAAACGTGAAAGCTACAGAAAGTGTGGGTCACATGCCACTGTCCTGAGTCCCCGCAACCTGTTACACAATCAACTACTCCTTGTATCTGCCATTCCATGGTTCAGCGAAACTTCAGCAACCAATCCCGACAAGTCCACGCACAATGCCCCTCGGCACGGGTAAAATCCAAGAGCCTGTCACTCATGTACTCCCAACGCCGCAGAGGATCTCCAGCAGACTGCAAGGCAATGCAGGGTTTCTTGTGTAGCATGAAGCTTTCTTAGGCATTTGCTAAACTCTAAACTCTGTCGGGGCGTGGTGTTTTTGAGTAAGGCCGTAGGATGAGTCATAGGGATGTCGAGGGTTTCTGCTCGCATTGACGAGCTTTAAGGCCTGCATTACTGTTCTTAACTGGTATTTCTAGTATTGTTATCGTCCTTGCTATTATGTCTAAAACTATCGTTATGAGCACTCGCCGGCTTTGGAAGGGGTAGCGGTGGGTACTCCGTAGCTGGGATGAGCTGGGCATGGAAGTGCCGGATCGGGGTCCCCTTCTGCTGATGCTTCTGCTGCTAGCATGCAGCCGTGACATGATGGCTGTGCCGATGCACTTTGGTTTAATTGCTAGAGAGTCTGGATTCTGAGAATCCCAAAGCCCTCTCCCACTGTTGATCCTTTTTCGGGTCCATCCATGCAAGATGCTGTGAACAGCAAGCTCTCTCGATTGCGCTTCGCCAGCAGCAGCTCTACTGGCAGCCGGTCTGCTCAGTGGTCAATAAATCACCGATTGAAATTCAAGACTCAAGTGTTTATGGATTTGTGGTCTAAATGACTGCGCGACGGTCTTCACAAGCATTACTGCCAGATTCAGCTTCACGGACCATTAGCATCACTGCATCGCCATACTCGCACGATCTCACACGCACAACGTCTCTCATCGTCACTAGCAGCATGATCATCAGCACCCTCAGCATCGAGATTGCAGTCATCGTCCCGGTCATCATCCTCGTCATGATCATCACTAGCCGCAGCAGCAAAGGCAGCAGCAGGATTTTCGCAAGTATCGATAAGGAATGATAATGACATCATCATCGTCGCAAGCGTATCATCAGCTGAAGCGCGTTTACCTTCCAAATGGTGTGACTGTCAGGCTATGCTTATGGCTTAAGGTGACCAGCACCGTTGCCGCTTCTAGTTCAAATCAAGTGGTGTCGTCTATAAATATAACTAAATACATAATATATATATATATATATATATAATATATATATATATAATATGTATATATATATATATCTACATCTATCGCGTACGAACAAGATGCCTGTCAGATGGTTCAACCAAAATCTCAATGCAAAAGTTCTGTAGCTATCAGTATCAAAACTACACCTCGTGACGCCAGAATACTTCTGACCGGTGCACAAGCAGAGAACCCTCGAGAGAGCCAGAGAGCACAAAGGGCTCTTCACAGCTGGCAGTCAAAGCCAGCTGCAGGAACTCCCTTTGAAAGAGATGCATAGGCATAACGCAGAACTGAGCGTTTCCATATTCATGATTCAGGGTGAAGGAGGACGGAACAAGCGACGACAGAAGTTCGAGATTCCAGAATCTCCCCTCCGCTACATTTCTGGCTGCTTGTCCTGTGTCAAGTGTAGGAGGCTACTTGCTGGAACAACGGCCCCGAGACAGGTCGGACATAACATGCTGCCGGTCGCTCTTGACAGGCACATCGTAACCCTCTTCCCCGACAAGCTGAAGAAGATGCTATTTTGAGACGCAGGCCCCACCAAACTCCATGCCCGAAAGCTTCAACAGACTTGAAGGACTTCTCCTGCCGGCACCCCTTTCGTTGGGGTAGATCCCACTTGATAAATCGAAAACGCAGTCACTTCAAGGAACTTCACGGGGAGCCCTCGCCCGTGGACAGCTGGGGGTAATTCCGGTTGTTTTCGGTGGTTTCTACAAATTTTCGGGTCTTGCGCGATCCTGGCTCGTCCACGTGTATCGGCCGGGAAACAAGGGCTTCCTGTGATTCGGTGGAACCTTGCCTCCGTTGCGAGGCTGTGCACGCAGTTTCTGGGGCACCTACCCAACCAAGCATGCTAAGCCAACAATCCTAAGTCGAAACGACAAGTCAGAAGTATAGTTTATAACTACATACAGAGCCTTCAAACTTTAGGCTAGGCATGGCTGGCACGGAGCCAGTTGAGGACTTGTCGAACTGGGCGTGGCTGTTGGTGTACAAAGTTTGAGATAACTCTACTTCCTGATCTCCGTGGCTAGGTGCCACCAGTCCTGCACTCGGACTGCGTTGCATCCACAAAATTGGGCGGTCCCGAATAAGATGAACCCAAATTCAGGTCTCTGACCCACAGGCAGGGACCCCTAAAATTCTGAGAAGGGTGTGTATAGAAGATGGGTAGGGGCACGCCAGCTTTTGATGCGCCACGTAAACTCGCACCAATGGCGATTGCAACTTGATCAACATCTTTTGAAGTAGCAGTACTGATGCTGGCTTGCAAGCTGCTGCGGGTCGGATGCCACAACCGTGCGCGCGCCGAGGGAGGGAAAGCAGGAGAATGGATCGGGGCCTTCCACTAGCTTACAGCACGAAGAATGTGCAAACCACGCAGCCCTTCTGACGCGATGCTCAAGGATTACCTACAATGCAGGGAGAAACTGCAACAATGGTATTGAAGCTTCTGATTTCCACCCCTCTGTGCCGAATTGCAAAGACACCTGTGTTGGCCGAGGTCAGTTCTTTTGTGAGACGCTCAGACCAACAGGTGCGTTCGTTCAAAAACATCGTTACGCGAAGCTCCTTCGCTACGCAAAGCTCCAAGAAGAAGGATGATCTGTAACACTACTCGGCATAATATTCAGAATCTTTCTTGTCATGGAATGTGTGTACTGTGTACTTATGTGGATGCGCCACGGGCAGTTCCCGAAAGCCACAGATTGCTCAACGAGCAGGTGCTGAAAACAAAGGCAACCACACCCACACCTGAAGGTGAAGGGTTGCACTTTGGCAAGCAGCTAGACTTCTTCTTCAGTCCAGCCATAACTCACGCGGCATGTCGGACACAAGCAGGACGAGGCCGACAAAGACAAGGACCAGGTGGCTATACACTCCTCGTGGAAGACATGTCCACATGGCAGAATGGCCACATGGCTGTCAGGAACGAAGTCTTCCAGGCAGCAGCTGCATGTCGTCGCACAATGGGCGCAGCTTGCCTGCGTGAGCCCGGGGGTCGCAGAGATGGGTTCCATGCTTTCCGACCCCAAAGGCGAAGTTTCGGCCAGTTTGGATAACGGGTTAAAGTGGCGAGCCGGAAACAGGTCCGAGCTCACTTTGGCAACTGCAGAGATGCAGCTTCAACATAGCTCAAGTTCTGAGAAAAGATATTTGCTTCGTGGCACCACATCTGAAAACATGTGTCTGGCTCAGACCTCCCACGCCTAAAACCCACAAACCCTCCTGCAGCCCTAGGCGCTCGGCTTTTGGAGGGCTGCTTGGACACCACCCATTCGGCAGAATCCTCCACGCACTTCACGCAAACGCAGTGTAGCCTTGAGGGCAGTGGAAGCACGGGTGCATCAAGGGTCCTCGGCCTCAAAAATGCATTCAGCCCGAAACTCGAGCACTGGAACCACAACATGAACAGCTGGGGGTCTCTGAACATCTCCAAACTCAAACCCGAAACCTTTGACCCTGCAGACATGTCCCCAAAACATACACAAGTACTATACTATACTACAAACCAAGGGTCTCAGGACGGTCAGCGTCGATTCCCTCGAAGGTCTGCGAGGCCCAAAGGCACTTGCGCTCTCGGATCCTGTCTTCCAGCACTAAGCTTTACGGGCGTTTAGGGTTATATCGGGGCCTTAATAATTAGAAGAGGGTTCTGCGGTATATTAAACCAAAAAAATATGATGAGGAGCCCCACATTAGCATTATGTAGGGTCGGTAGTCGGCAGCTGCTTTGAACAATCAAACGGTCTCGTCCCAGATAAGAAGAATGCTTCAAGTAGCTTCCTCGGGGGCAAGCTCGGGGAGCTAATATTGAAGAGTGAAGCAGCAAAAAGAAACACGACTGGCGACCTTCTTTCTATATGGGGGCTTCCGAAAGTAGGGGACCCTAATATAGTACCCCAAAATAGTAGGATCCTTATTATAAGGACCCCCAAATTAAGGTTTTCGGAAACTCCCATACAACCTATCATGAATCTAGATCTTGCCTCGACCCAAACCTAGTTCACAAGTTTGAAGCTTTTCCGGATGCGAAGGATGCAAGCCTCCCCAAACAGGTCCGAAGCCCCGACAAAGACCTGCCTGCGAAAGAGACAAAGTGCTTTGAGCTGCTAGTTTCTTCATTGATCAGGGGTGCAACCCTCAAAATATTGCAGCGGCCACAGCATGAAGTAACCAGCTGCCTGGCCGGCTCCACTTGCTGTGCTGGCTGACGGTCAAAGACCAGGGCAATCGTTCCCACAACAACCTCGGGACAGGGGTAGTTAGTGCATCGGGATTCATGCGAACAGCATATGTCTGACTTATGTGTGCCAGCCCGAAGCGAAGCTAAGCTCGAACAGTCACCCCCCGTCTACCGTTACATCCCTGATGAAAGAAATCAAACCTTGCGGATTCACAAGCAGAAAACCAAAGCAAGTCAGAACGAGCTGCTCGCCTGGCGTGTCGAATGCTCCCTACAGCTGCAACAAAATCATCTAAACGGCAAAATTAAACGGCAAAAAGGCACAGAACCGCAAGCGCACTGCATCAATGCCCACTGTCCCAAAACAGTCGAAGCCCAAAACAATCAAGGCGCCGTGCAGCCGAGCGGAATGATAAACAGTGCAGAGTACCTGACCGAAGACTCTTACTAAACGGAAACGTTACGGTAGTGGATCTGACTAGTTTGACTAGTTGAAACCAAAAATGTTTGGACAACATTTCCGAAGCTCTCGTGCGTAAACGCTTTGTCGCCGCTATTGGATGAAATTACTGTCGGAGAGACTGCTTGTCAAGCTTCGGAATGTCTTCCCGCACTCACTGTGAAGATTGGGCATATGCATGTGACAGGACATACGGCTTTGAATACCTGCACGGACTTAGAGTTTTATTACAGTAACAAGAAAAATTTCGAAGACCACTACTGAACAAGGTTTTTCACTCAGCAGGCCTAGAACGAGATGGGGCTGGCTAATGGCTAATCACTCCGCTGTGAGGTAGGTCCTGGAGAAAATCTCACCACTGTCGGCGTGCTTTGCTAAGTTACTTTTATGACCGTCCTAGCTTCTTCAAGTTTACCTCCCGCGATGCATTTCCAAACCCAACCTCGCCAGCAAAGCTACAATCCTTCCGGTAAACTGTCCTGAGCTCACCCTGGCATGTGCTGGCCTGCGGCGGTACTCCCAGGGAGTCATGGCCATGACCGTGACGAACAGACCTGCCAACAAGATCTTTGAATCAGCCTCAACAGCCATCTCTTGATTGAGCATCGTGTGCTTCACTGTTTCTGGGACCCGAAAACCCCGCAGATTTTCGGTGATGTTCACAGAAAAGAAGTCACCAAAAGCCAAATGAAGCTGTCAGGTTCACACATGTCTGTTGAAGTGATGGCAAGGACTTGGTGTGCAATGGCTAGATCTTGGAGTTGCACCAGCCGCGGAACTCAAGCAACTTCACCATGCGCAAGAACAAGAGTAATGATGTAATTCTATAGAGAGATAGACAGACAAGACCGACAAGCAGTCAGACAGATGCAGGTACGTGTGCAGACAAACAACCAACGATCAGAAATCCGCCGGCTTCATTCCCTGAGCCCTGTGCGTTCTCATGCAGTCTTGCATCTCGCAAACTTCGCCCGAGCCTGTCATAACCAGGCTGGCAACAATCCTCGGGCCAAAATAGCGGTTCACGTCGCTTGAATGCTGAATGTGTTGCATTATGGCGCCGGCCTGCCCGGAGCATACTGACGACAACGGACATTGGTTCGGGGGGTAAGGGGCAGAACAACTGCAAGCACATGGGTCTGGGGTTTACACTCTCACAACTCAGACTTGTCAGATGAGATCTATCGGTACGAAGTCGGAAGCTTGACCTCTGTAAGCTGTGTGATGTCATCAACAAAACCGAGAAAGCAACAATTATATCAGCCATCAGAGCTTGGCCTAGAACAATGCATAGCAATCTCGTGACCTTCCGGCATAAGGCAGAAATGAGGAGGTCTCAAAAGACGAAAACTTGAAGCCACCGAGGCACAGCCCAAAGCCGAGACATCGAATCTTGCTGCGAAGCAGAGCATCGGAAGGAAGCATGGCACTGAGGCGGGTGCTCAGAGCATTCGGCATACTGACGTTGAGGGATTTTCGTTGAGCCTTACTGTGAAGCATAGTGGGGCTGGTCGGGAAAACTCTGGAATCACTTGCCTGGTGTACCTATAGTATGTAATAGTATGTATGTGTCCTGGATGACCCAAGGACCTGCGGGAATTTTAAGCGTGGATCTCGAGGCAGAAATCGAGACCTCTTCCTGGCGCTGTCCTGGCTCGATGACTCCAAATGGCTGCAGCGTGGAATGCCCGAGGCCACGGAGGGAGTTCTATGCCCGCAAAGATGCGCCGGTGTTTTGCAGACTGAACTGTGACTGGGTCAGACAGCTTGGACGGCAAAGTCTGTCCCATCATCCTATCAGAGCTGCGCAGTTGCTGGCTGCCCGTAGCGTATGTAGCGTGAGCGGGCAGTATGCGTAATGGGCTTTGCAAGTGGATGTGCTGCGACACGAATCCGGACTTCCCGTCGCGAAGCGGTTTAGACTCGACCTCAGGCTTCTTTGATTTTTCTGGTAGCGGTGTGGCTTAGGGCTCGTCAAACCAGATATCCTCGTCTTAAAACCCTTGCGACAATCTTGTTCTCATCCGCGATGATTACTCGAAACTTGGGCTCTGCACTGTGGCAGATTACAAAGTTTGGAGACGGGAGGGTGCCGAGCTCCTTTGGGGCCTCCATCTGAGGGGACCCCAGAGAATTTCTGGAAGCATGAGCCCGGACCCGACCGAACAAACTTGGAACATGCGCATTGCGGCTGACGATCTGCTTGACATACCTGCCAGCCATGCGAAAGCCGTTGTGATCAGAACTTTTCGAGGCACCTTCTGGCACAGCAGTTCGAACGAACGTGACGTGTCCAAGCACCTGTAACTGTAAATTGAGTTGGGGTAAAACCATGTAGAACAAACTTAAGTCGACTTAGTAACTTAGAGCATTAGCCCTGCTAAAAACAGCCAGCACTGCCTGGGCCATGCCTTCTTCGTGAACATCTCGGGAGGGTCTCGGGAGGGAGTCTGATACAAAGCTAAAGCTTGTCGATTCTGTATTCAGGGCCGCTGATGGGGAACGCTCGTTGCCAGTTACCGAAATCTCGGCAACTGTCGATTAATACATGAGGTTTCGGCACTCGCTCTCTAGCAATCAGGTTGTGGTTCGCTCTGAATGCATTCGGCTTGGGGCAAGACAGAATATTGAAGCCTTGACTACTATAGCGCCTCGTCGCTTCTCCTGGGCCTTGCAAACCCCTCCGGCTGTTCATTCGCAGATTCTGCGTTAACGCTGCATGCATTTCCTTCTGCAGCTGCTTGCAGCTGTGCCCAGCTGTGAGCTTGGGGGTATATTCAGATTCTCGATGGCACAAGTTGTGTGTCCTACCATATGATTGCGCTTTATGAAAAATCGACTTCTAGATAATGAAGCCTCTCGAAGCGTTCCGATTCTGCAGCAACGACTTGTGCAACATGCGCAGCACGTCCGGTCTGCGGGTGCAGAGTCTACCCTGATGTTGAACCACAAGTCCCCTATAAGCAGAATCGAAGGAATTGAACCCCAAGATTTTCGAACCCCCAAAATTCACCGAAACTCGAAACCAGACTCCCTGAAACACCACATGTGGAGCAACTCTGTTTCACAACGAAATGCACTGTTTTTTTTTTGGTGGGACTCCCCGCGGCCTCGAACCACGGGGCTGAAAAACCGCTACCATTTTGTAATGTTGAGCACAAGGCCTTAATACATCAATACTTTGGGATGTTGCCTGCGTTAGTCTTCATCGGTTTGTACCTGTCAGCTTGATTTTTGTAATTTTTGGTTCTTTATGTCAAGTTTATGTGCTGGTCAGCCTTTTGCATTTGACCCTCCCTCGCAAGCACGAGTTTCAAGTGCGGTTGCCACTAAGGTGTTGACTCGTTTTTTTGGACGAGCTTCTCAAGTTTGCTTCGGAAGAGTTCGCTCGGGATCAAGACCTGTTGATTGAACGAGAGTTTGCCTTCACCATGTATTGGAACAACGGCCCTGTAACAACGCCCGTGGGTGGACCGAGCCCTCCAGCCTCAACGACACAACAAATTCTCAAAACCACCTTAAACTGCATGGGTTGAAAAAACCAAGCCCCAAAAACGAAATGCATGCGCGAGCACACGTGCGTCAGCGCCGGGCCGACAGAGTTTTTTTTGTTGAACCGTATATTTGGCAATCAATGTTAGAGATTGGATGCCGCCACCCACAAACCTGCGTCAAGCACTGCCTCCTAAACACAGAACACTGACACATGTAGGCACCGTAGCATGACAAGTAAAGAGGAGTGCGCGGTCGTGGCTGAAACGACAACTGAAACTGGAAAGCCGTGCTCGCGAACCCGAGTACAAATATGACCACAATCGATCTTAGATCAGCATCATTTGTCACTGGAAGAAATCCTACTGCAAGCCCAAGCAGCCAAAACCGAAGGCACACAACTCTGTCCCAGCAGTACTCGCTCTCAAAGCAGAGCCCGGAACTCTCGGCTGGGCGTTCTGAACGGCCTCCAGCTCCACAGGTCCAACACGCTGAGCGCTCCGGCATGCAAGGGCTTCTTGAATCTGCGAGAGCATTATAAACGATATACTGAAGGAGAGCCCTTGTTACACGGCAGAGTGGAAACAACCGATTCACCGCCGAACGGTAGTTACGCAACCTCGTAGGATCACCGGTGTTGACAACGACGCGTAAGAGCCCAGAGAGAAAGAGAGAGCGAGAGACAGAGAGCTCGAAAGAGAATTACAGAGGCGGTGCGATTTCCACGACACCTGAAAAGCACTTTCTGAGTGAGTGTGTGTGTGTGAGAGCCCTGATCGTCGCTAAGGGTTTGTGGAAATGCACAGAAGCAGGGGCACCAGGGGCGCT